CTAAACTGGAAAATGTCTTCAACTTTATTTCCAATTTTTACTCTTTTCTCATTTTCACATAGTCAATCTCAGACTCTTCCTCAAATTCCCTGTTTCCATTTTTTGGGATTGGATATTGAACATTATTCACTTTATCTAATGACTCCACCAGTGATGTTAACTATACTTCCTCCAAACCCACTTTCTGTAAGGACTCAATTTAGTTCCCTTCGTTTCTCCATCTGATGAAAACATCTTCTTCACTAACTCTTCCAATATGTCAATGTTTATCCTCAATTAATGGTTTCCCTTCAGTGACGTTAACAGAATCCTTGGTTGTGTCCATTCCATTTCCTGTACTTAGGCTCAGTCTTTCCCTCCTTCAGGGAAATTTGATAGGGCTCCTTATGTCCTTGCCTCCTGGTTTGACAGGCTTTGACCAATTGTTCTCTGCCATTTCCATCCAACACAGTGCTACCATCATATCTTCGATCTCTTTCAGCATACCAGAGAACCTTTATTTGCAGTATCATCCTGATCCACTCCTCAATCATTCCCAGCACCCATTCGCTTTCAAATGCATTTTTCCATGTAAACACAGGAGACACAACATTAGTTCTTTTACTTCTTTTTCCTACCATCCAGGGCACTAAATGTTCCATTCAGGCAAGACAGCAATTTACTGTATTTTTTTTTTAAATTTTGTTGTGCTCACTGTTCACAATGTGGTCTCCTCATTATGGAAAGATCAAATGCACATTGAGTGACTGGTTTTCAACATACCTCCATTCAGTCCATATGCTATAGCCTTGAGATTCCAGTCATCTGTCACTTTAATTCTCTACTCCACTCTCACTTGGATCTCTCTGTCCTTGATATCCTACATGTTTCTTCATATATTGATTAGATACTTTACACCTTCTAACTCAGCACTGTGTTTAACTTTTATGTATATCAGATGCTGGTAAAGATTCTGTTATTTACATTAACATCCCAAAGTGTCCCATCTGTTTCTTTTTCATTTAATTGTACTATTTCTGTCACATTTGTTCTATCATCTCTTTGACATTTAATCCTCCTGTCTTCTACTCTACATAGACCTTCCTTTTGGTTGTTTCCTCCTCTCCCATGATTTAAAACCAGTTACATCTCTAACTTCTGGCAATTCTGAATAAAGATCAGCACCAAAACATGAACTCTGCTCCACTTTTCTGACTTGTTGAGTATTTCCAAGATGTTCAAGGCTTTTATTATTACATTCACCACTGGCAAACACAATTTGCAACAAACGTCGCAGATTAGAAATTATGTATAAACAAAAGAAGCTACTGTCGTAACTCGCGGGGATAATGCACTGGAAATCAAGCCCCACTATTGCTGAATCATCACAAAGATGAAAATATTTAATGAAACTATCTAAAGTCCTTAGTTTACCTGACTGGTGAACCCAAAATACAACAAATATCAGTCTTCTTCACTTAACAAGAAATGATTTATTCCAAACAGATAGTACATAACCAATAATGGAAAAGAAACACAAATTAACATCTTATAATTTCTATAATAACATTTCTATAATGTAACTTTGCCCATTTAAAAAAAACACAGACATACACAAACTGCCCCACACAGAGACAAGACACATATTATTGATGGAGAAGAAACAGAAAGTCTACGAAGCACAGCTCTGATACCAATCTGGCTTTGATGAGATATTTTCCTTCAGTTCCCTTTTGGCTCTTTGAGAAGGAGCCAAGGTTGTAGACACACTGATTCTCAACTTTTCATTCATCGTTGCAGACTTTTCCTTTCCATGTCTCTGAAAGTGGGTTTGACCTTTCTATCCTTTCAATAAGTTTGCAGAGAAATGAACAATTAGCTGCTTAAAAGTTTCTTTTACTTCTCCACTCCAAGAAGGGAGAGAAGTGTTTTCTCCTTCACAGGCTGCATGTTTCTCCTGAAGTGTTCAAAATCAAAACTGTAGCCATTTGTGTAGAAAGCAATCAGAAGTTGTTACTATGCTGAGCACTCCTGAGAACTTGGAAACAGCTCCTGGTTGATCAACCAATCAGTAGTTTGTCAGTGGGCAAACTGCCCTGGACACACAATACAGAGCCAAGGTGTTTAATATCTTCCCCCACTCCTTCAATAAGGTCACTTTGCAGATACAACACACAAAGAGTTGAAGTAAACTTTGTAAAAGAAAACTGCAACATCTACTTCTACACTGTCGTGATTTAAAACAGTACCTTTCACGATTTTGAAGTCCACAATTTTTTTAAAAAGTGGCTTTACATTTCTTTCTCTCCAGATCAGTAAGACCTGTGCAAAATGCACAGCTGTTTCAGATAACCTACACTTTCCAACTGTGCAGTTATTTACTAATATGTGCTGCATTATTGAAATTTGTGGGAAAAATATATTTGGATGGCTAGTTGGAAAACATGAATGATAAAACAAAACTATTCTGTTGCTGAAGATGGGAATATGGTCCCTGTGACTGAACAATTAGATTTTGAATTAATACATAAAGAGTAATTACTTGGGTAATTTGAGTGTAACTGTTGAAAAAACATTATTTAAATCAAACAATCAAATTCCAGGAGACTATGGTGATATGGAGGTCAAAAATCTAGGTGCAAGACAAATCTTGGATAGTTTAAATGTTACTGAGATACTAACTGAAATTAGAATGAAAGAGGGATTTCTTTTTAGTGAATAACTATGATTTTACACACAATCTACTCATATAAAAAGCACAAAAATAACACCTTTATTTTAATTTGTACAAATCTACCTGAAACAAGTCCTAATAATGAGGAGTATTTGGAACAAATGAGGCCCCCTCTTGAACATGGACAGCAAATGCACACTCATAGCATGAGATTCTAAACCATTCCATAAACTGAGGACTCCCTGTGAAGTGGAACATCTCTGATAGCTGACTTAATTCTAAGAAACATAATTGTCCCATGTTGAACATAAAGAAGACATGTAACATAAGAGTATGGCTTCAGTCAATACTGTGTTACCACTTAATAAGTTCATGACTGATCTGACCCTAACTTATACCTACCCACTGTGATTTCATAGTCTTACATATACTATCAAAAGCCTAACAGACCCAAGATTTTTTTTCACCTTGTTCAACATCTTAGTAAAATCTTTTCAACATCTATCCTTTTCGAGACTAAAATGCACAAAGTTTATAAAGATTGCTGTAATGAAGGGCAATTGTGAACCTTTCTTTTGGCATGAACAATTTGATTTAAAAGTGCTAACTATCATGCTGTATCTATAAAGTGTAATCATATTAATCATTGTTGTCTGTACCTGAGTATAATATTCACCATTTTCAAAGGAAATGTAACGTGGTGGATTTCTGACATAAATTTGGGCTAATAAACAAGTGTTTGTGGTTATTGCTTGTTCGTGTCGAATGTAGATTATGTTAAAAAAAAGTCCTTATAAATATTTGACAATTAATCTTGATCTTGTTTGGTGCACGTAAATACAGTTTGTCAAAGCCGGTATTGAGCTTCGAGTTCCTAACCCTGGTCTAAGTATATGCCATAAATAACAGGGCAGACTGTAACATACAAAGGGGCCCCAAGGAAGATTTACTCTGGATATGACTCCTGACCCCCAACCGTCTCCCATTCTAGTAGCAATAAAAAATAAAAAGTGACTTTAGGATAAAAAAATCTGGTGTAACCCAAAAATATGACAGTTTAAACTGTAGCCGAGAAACCGATTCAACGGAAGTTTAAATGTAATCTAGCAGAGTAAACAATATTTAAGGGGAAAAAAATCCTTCATTTTAATTCGTGTGTAGAAACAGCCCAGTAGCAGGCAAGCGGCCGTAAATGCAACAATCCTTCCAAGCAAAAAGTGAATGATCTGGAGCAGAGCTCGTCTGAAGTTGTAAAGTCCCAGTGGTAACAGTGGAGAAGTCAAACGGGAAGTTAATCACTTTTGGAATCAAGCTTACCCTTGTAAACAACTCACCTGAGACAGATATGCAACTTGGTCTAAATTAACTAACTTTGATTTGCAGGTATTATATGTCGGAAGTGATACTTGCATTTAAATGGTTTCGACAATTGACAAGCAGCTAAAACTGGACGAAGGCATTCAAATATTAATTCAAACCATGAGGATAAAATGCCAAACGGCTCGAACCACATCACCGATAACAATGTTGTACAACGTCTGTTTCAGTTATTACTCAAACAGTTGAATCAGCAATTTAAGAAACTTTTTAAAAAGATAGAAAATTCTAACATAAACTAAACGTAGAATAAAAGTTCCCACGGCGCCCCGGTTGTGTACCAAGATAAAACTTAATATATAAAGAAAATCTTGGTTCTTTACTTTGGCTGCTACTTGGAGGGATTCGTTTGCTGAAGAAAGCTGCCTGAAGGGAATGTTATATACAACCCTTTCACTGCTTGGTTAGTATAATGGAGATCCCATTATTCAGTTTCCATTGCACTCGGTTACAACGTCAACAGTTCACGGTGACCCTTTGTGTGTAGGTCCTGTCTTCTCAACATCATTAGACTATACATGCACTTGTTAAGCGGCCTGGAGATTTCAGCAGAGTTTACCAGAACAGTCCACCCAGAAAGGGAGACAAACTGATTGCTGTGGAAAACACGAAATAATTGCGTTCCCAAGTATGCTAAGAAGATTTAAGAGCACGCAGCAGGTAAAATCTGGGGACTATCGCCAAGAAGGATCTAAAGTTGATGGGTTTGCATGGATGCTATCATTTTTAAAGTACTCCTAGAGGTATCCACGCGCCTGAAAGTATCGGTTGTCTGCACTCATCAACGTTAAACTCAGCTGTCTTCTTTTATGCTCTCTATATTCCCTTTTTAATCCCATTAGCGTTGTGGTTATAAATATTGATGTCCTCACACACAACAGGCAACAACAGCAACCGGGTTTGTGAAATGTCGCCACCTGTTCTGCCGGTCACACTCCTGAGCGTTATGCTTTGAATCGACTCTAAGACAATGGAATTTCAAGAAAACTTCGTGCATTCTCCCGCCCTGGACTCTCCCGTCCTGGACTTTGTTACAGAATCAGATTTTGGCCTGGAGTCCCCAGAATCAGACCAGACCGAGATGCACAGCGCGGATCTGTGTAACCGACTCTGCGGTTTTGCAGCAATACGGGAGTTTTCCGATGAGTCTCTTCCATTTGGAGACGACAGGGAGCAGGTGAATTGCTTGGGAGGCCAGGGAAGAACCGGTAAATTAGGATCTCTCGATTCCCTGATGGTCAGACCCCAAAGGAAACGTGTGATCACCCATGCTCAGCGTCAGGCTGCCAATGTCAGGGAACGGAAAAGGATGTTCGGCCTCAATGAAGCGTTTGATCAGTTAAGGAAAAAAGTGCCCACCTTTGCATACGAGAAACGTCTGTCTAGGATTGAAACCCTGCGACTTGCGATTGTCTATATCTCGTTTATGACCGAACTTTTGAATAAAGAGAAAAATCCAATTCCAGAATAGTTTTAGATATAATCACAAATACTTATCCTAACATACAAGGGAACTTTTCATCATATTCGTGTTTCTTAGAAAGATGCGGCAATTCTAGCTCAGCTCCTCAGAAGTAACGAGAATGCTTCAGTACTAAAGAATTCACTTGATGGATATGGTTTACAATGGACGATTTAAGACTTCACGTGTAATATCGTCATTTTTGATCATGCCAAAAAAAAACTCCTAGCCGTTTATGATTTGAAATATGTTTAAAATTGTGCCCGACATATGCTTTGGATATGAGAGATTTCATATCAACATTGCAATACATGAGGAACGACTATTTCACAAAAGAACATTTCACATGTCACACAGCTCAAACCTTAGAAAGTCCAAACAGTTCATATTTACACGAGGTAAGCTCAAACGTTTCGCCGCATTTATGACGATTGTGTTATTTTGGAAAGACAATAGATCCTAGTGGATATACCCTTTCAGATATTACCAACAATCACCGTGATGGTATAAAGGTTGATTCAAGTTACAGCGAGAATTGTATTTATTGTAGCAGTATAAATAAAGGACGGGGGTGCGGGAAGGCTATTGAACATTCTGATTTTCGATTCGGAAGTGCTGATGTGAAGAATCTTTGAGAACGACAAATGTTGTGACACAGGGAGAGAAAGAGCGAAATGCAATGTTAGAAAATGTGCATGCCACTTATCCAGCTATTGTCCTCAAGCATTGCGGCCCGGGTGCCTTAGAAACGGCGGCTCTCCTTTTGTTGGAGGTTCACACGGGGACTAATTGGCTTTTGATAACTGTTGATTCTGGCTAGATATACCTGCAGGTGGGAGGGCTTAAGTCTCACAGGAAAAGTTAAACGAATCGCAAGTTTAATTATTTTGGCATTAACCTTTAAAACGTATTTCAGTTAGACCCAGTTACAGATGGATATCCTCAAAGACGGGTTACAGCAAATCTTCGTCGGCACAGCGTTGTCTTCCTCCAACAGAAATTGATGTGTCTTGTACTAGTTGCTGCTTGTACATGGAATTAGCAGCCGTTGAGGGGCATTCTTATTGAAATCACATTGTAACAGAAATAAACTTTGGCACCTGTTTGTAAGCGACGAAGTAAATAAAGAAAACTCAAACCAAATTGTCACGTTGATGCGCTCTGCCGGTTTTGTATACAGTGCGATCATTATTTGTTTCGGGATGTGCTAATGGAATTTCCTGGGGTGTTTTGTCATGCTGATCCTCCCCTTCCCTTCTCTCTCTATCTCTGACCGTTACAGACGAAATATCGAACCACACTGCGCCTTAACCAAAATGTAGAGTGCTGCGATTCATTTCGATGTAAAAAGTCTGCTGCACTTGAAATTGCCCAATAGCGGTTTTGTTTTCCCGTAACAATCACTGTGGTGGATTCTAGGGGATGTAGGCCATTCCAGAAATGTCAAGCAACTGCAGCAAAATATATCCATTTCACTTGTTTCCACTTATTTTGGAATTCATTCCAACTAGCGCCAAACAGTCGTATGACTGGCTTCTATCAACGGTTTTCTACTATCACTCAACGATTCGCAACAAATCCTGCTCCTGAGACATTATTTCTCCCATCATTGGCAATAGTCCAACCCTTTTAAAGAATTTGTATGAACAGGAAAAGTTGTACTGCTTCGTGTGAGTCTTCCTAACCGCTACCTGATTTCCACTAGGTATATGTGCCGGTCTGTGTGTATGTATGTGTATGGACGCGTTAGTATATATGTGCGTATGCATGTGTATATGTATGTACGAGAGTATGTATGAGAGTATGTATGTATGTGTACAGGTATACATCTATGTGTGTGTGTATATATATGTCCTTCTCTTCACCTCTCAGATACTGTATTAAAGATATATAAAATCAACATCAGTAGTCATAGTTCTGGTTCACCAGGCCGCTAAAGAAAACAAAAACAAGTTTTCGAATCTCTTGGTGGGACCTCACTGTTAAAACAGTGAAAACTGATCGACATTAGTTCCGAATGCGAGAATTTAGTTCATTACCCCTTCAAGGCGTGGCTGTAAATGTAAAGTGGACAATTGCAACCTATTAACTAGATATGGCGGTGTTCACAAATTTATTGCTAGCGTGTGATTGAGTTCAGAAATGAACAATCTGAAGCAACACTGATCACAAGTTTGACCAATTACATTGAACATTTTCTAATTCTGGGGCTCGGTCAGGATTTGTAAGGTGTTCCATGTTGACTATTGTCCAATTGGAAATTTAGACTGAGGATGAAAGCGAGCATATTCCCACGGAATGCTGCAGAATGACATATCCATATCTTGCCCGAAATTTATATCAGTAACCGAGGAAAGGCTGTTTTCTAGTGCACACTCATCCAAAATGGTGAGTGGATTTTCTTTGTAGGCGTGAAAATTCACAAATTAAATTCATGCTTATGCTATGAGCTGCCTTCAGGCGCAAATTTTGGGTGTCAAACGTGACGGTCTGGTACCAAATGTAATCCTAACACAAGAGCACCTCATACAGCACAAGGACGGCACTTCTTTCACATCGGTCCTCAGGTTTCACACGACCTGGAAAGAGGTTTCCCTGCATTTGGTCTTAAGTCAAAACAAGATTAAATATATCCATAATCTATAACCAGGTTGCAATCAACCATATGCTAGGAGGCTGTCACACCGGTGAATTCCTTGAAAGCAGGGATCGAACCAGATCCTTTTTGCTGTAATCGACTATTTAAGATTCTAATGAAACAAAAACAGAAATTTGCTGGAAAAGTTCAGCAGGTCCGGTAGCATCTGTGAAGAGAGAAATCAGAGTTAACGTTTCGGGTCCGGTGACCCTTCCACAGAACTGATGGTACCGAGAAAAATGTCGGTTTATATGCAACAGATAGGATGGGGGGAGGGGGTAAGGAGTAAACGATAAATGGGGATAGAGCCCAAAGAGAGAGAAGAGCAATTAGACAGACAAAGGAGTTGATAACGATCCGGCTAGGAGGGTGATTTGCTGTTGATGGAGACTATCAGTGGCTAACAATAGGTAGTGTGTAATGGCAGACAACGTGATAACAAGGCCCGGTGTGTGGGGTAGGGGGCTAGGACATGGGAGAGTTTAGGCCCTAAAATTATTGAACTCGAGATTGAGTGGAGAGGGCTACAAAGTCCCCAAGGGGAAAATGAGGTGTTGTTCTTCTCGCTTGCGCTGAGCTTCACTGGAACACTAGAGTCAGCCAGACACAGAGATGTTAAAGTTGCAGGCAACTGGAAGTTCAGTGTCTTTTTGTGCGAGCAGAACGTAGATGCTCTGCGAAGTGGTCACCCAGTCTATGATTCGTTTCCCCAATGTAGGGGAGACCACATTGCGAGCACTGAATGCAGTAGATTGGATTCTGGGAAGCGCAGGCAAACTTCTGCTTCACCTGGAAGGTATGTTTGGGCCCACAGATACTGGGGAGGGAGGAGGTAAATGGGCAGGTGTTACAGCTTAGGTGGTTGCAGGGGAAGGTGCTGTGGGGCTGTGGGGAGGTGTTGGGGTGAAGGAAGAAGGGTGTCCTGGAGGGAATGGTCCCTGTAGAAGGTGGACAAGGGAGGGGAAGGGAATATGTGCCTGGTGGTGGCATCTCACTGGAGTTGGCAGCAATGGCGTCTGATGATCTTCTGGATGTGGATGCTGGTGAGATGGTACTTAAGGACAAGGGAAACCCCATCGCTGTTGCAGGAGGGTAGAGAGGACGTGAGGGCACAAGTGTGGGAGATAGATCAGACCCGGTTGAGGGCCCTGTCAACAATGAGTTTAGGGAATCCTTGGTTGAGGAAGAAGGTGGACATTTCGGAGGCTCCCTTTTCGAAGTTGGCCTCATCTGAACATATGCAACGGAAGCAGAGGAACTTAGAGAATGGGGTGGAGTATTTACAGGAAGCAAGGTGTGAGGTTGTAAAAGAGAAGTTGTTGAGGGTGAGGACAAGCTTGGCCAAGCCGAGGAATTTGGTGGTGGGTGGGGATGGTTCGGGCCTTTGCTCCAGGAAGAAGTGGAGAGCCCTGGGACCATCCTGGTGGGGAATGGATGTGTAAAGGGATTACACATCCATGGTAAAGAGCAGGAGGCTGGAGACTGCAAACTGGAAATTCTGAAACTGGCATAAAACGTCAGAGGACTTGCGGATGTGCATGAGCAGGGACTGGATCAGGGGAGAGAGTCAAGGTAGGAAGAAATGATTTCTGTGGGGCAGGAGCAGGCTGAAACAATGGGTCTGCCCAGACAGTCCTGTTTGTGGATTTTCAGAAGAAGGTAGAAGCGAGCTGTGCGGGGCTGGGGGACTATCAGCTTGGAGGCAGTGGGGGTGGGGGGAAATCATCAGATGAAATGAGGTCAGTTCCCGTAGCTGATAGAATGGTCTGATGTGTCATGGTGGGTTCATGGTCCAGGGGAAGATAGGAGGAGGTATCTGAGAGCTGGCGCTCAGCCTCTGCAATGTAGAGGTCAGTACGTTAGACTACAACAGCACTAACCTTATCAGCAGGCTTAATAACAAATTCAGGGTTAGATCTAAGCTCACGGAGTGCAGTCAGTTCAGAGTGAGATAGGTTGGATTGGGTGAGAGGGTGCAGAGAAATTGAGGTGACTAATGTCATGTTGACAGTTGTCAATGAACAGATCAAGTGCAGGTAAAAGGCCAGAGGGAGGGATCCAGGTGGAGGGAGCATGTTGGAACTGGGCGAAGGGGCCACTTCCACCACCTCCATTGAGATGCCACCACCAGACACATATTCCCCTCCCCTCCCTTCTCCACCTACGGCAGGGACCATTCCCTCCGGGACACCCTGGTCCACTCTTCCTTCACTCCAAACACCCCCCACAGTCCCATGGCACCTTCCCCTGCAACTACTAAAGATGTAATACCTGCCTGTTTATCTTCTCCTCCTCACTATCCAAGGGCCCAAACATACCTTCCAGCTAAAGCAGTGCACTTTCCATAATCTAGTCTACTGCATTCATTGCT